GAGAAGCGTGCCGTCTTCAGCATGCGCCCTGTGATTGCGCCGCAGAAGGTGGCGGTGCTGCCGCTGCTTGTGAAGCCGGAGTTGTTGCGGGTGGTGGAGGAGATCCGTGGCGACATGGTGCTGCGGGGCATCTCGACCCGCACCGACGACAGCGGCGCCTCGATTGGGAAGAAGTACGCCCGTGTGGACGAGCTCGGCATTCCGTTCTGCGTCACGTGCGACTTTGAGACGGACGGATGCGTCACGCTGCGTGAGCGCGACAGCGCCCGGCAGGTGCGCATCCCAAGGGAGACGGTCGCCGACGTGGTGGCGGAGTTGAGCCGCCCGCTACAACCACGCGAGTGGAGTAGCGTCGAGACGGAGTTCCCTGCACAGTCAATAGCAGCGTGACCGTACCGCGGCGTGGATTTAGAACAGATGCCACGGAAAAATAACAAAGAGAGGATTATGGTTTGGTGTGTGTGTGTGAAGTCATCAAATGAGGCTCAATAAAATGTATTTCTGGGGAACGCAGCACGAAAAAAAGAAAAAAAAAAAAGAGTGGGGTTTGTGTCACGGTGATAGTAATGCACCGCGCGCATGTGGGGCCTTTCTCTTTACATTTTATGTGTTTGTTCTTGCCGCATTAGATGATGCTATTATTCGCCTACTGCCATCCCCACTGTTACTCTTTCTCTCACCGGTGACCGTTTCTCTGTCTCTCTGTCGGTGTGCGTGCTTGTGCGATGGCTTTAAGCCTGGTTTTTTTTTTTTTTTTTTTTTTTTTCCTTTCATGCCACCTTCTCTCTCTTTCTCTCTATCTTACACATGCGGGGCAGGAAAAGGAAAAGAGCGGAGGGTAAACACCGTAGGGAACCGAATAGAGGACCGAAAGTCAGCCGATAGACGGAAGCAGAAGAGGGAGGGAGGTGGGGGGGGGGAGAAGAAAATAGAAAACAAAAAAAACAACAAAATACAAAATAACAAAACAAACCGAACCACCTGGTGGCAGCGATGTTGAGTCGTCTCTTTGGTAGAGGGGATAAGCAGGCGAAGGCCCGCGAGAAGCAGCAGTCGGGAGGGCCCGGCTCCGTCTCGCAAACTCTGGAAAAACTGGAGTCGGCCTACGAGCTTCTCGAGAAGCGAGAGGGGGTGCTCGAAAAGAAGATGGAGATGGAGTTGGAGAGGGCAAAGCAGTACCACGCCAAGAAGAACACACAGGCAGCGCTTCAGTGCATGAAGCGGAAGAAGGCGTTTGAGGAGCAGCTGACGAACATCAGCGCCCAGAAGCAAAACCTCGAGACACTGAAGTTTACGCTGCAGAATCAGAATATGAATAACGAACTACTGGAGGTGCAGCAGCGCGTCAAGAATGAGCTGCGGGAACGTAATAAAAAGATGGATGCGGATCGTGTAGAGGAGAATATGGAGGAGTTGCAGGAGGAGATGGAGAAGGCCAACGCCGTCGCCGAGGCCCTGCGACAGCCGCTCGACAGCCAACTGCTGGACGAGGACGAACTCATGGGAGAACTCATGGCGGAACTGCAGACTGCCGATGTGAAGGTGGCAGAGTCAGCGCCAGCGCTGCCGGCCATGCCAAGTGTGCCTACCGGAAAGCTGCCGAAGTTGACTGCCAAAGAAAAAGAGGATGAGGATGAAGAGGCGCTGCGAGCCCTTGAGGCAGAACTTCAGTCTTAGTGCTGGGCGTGTCTCTTTTCCCCCTTTTTTTCTCCATTCACACCGTTAGGCTCTTGCGTTGCATATATATATATTTATATTTATCTATATATATATATATATTTCTCTTTCTTTGTGTGTCTGTGTGTGAGGGGGGAGAAGGAGAAAAAAAACAAAAGCCCCAAAGTTGGAGCAAAACGAGTTAAGCGAGGAACGCAAAGGAAATAGTTTTCTTTTTTTCTTTTTCTTTTTGTGAGGAGGACTGGGAGAGAGGATACATGAATGCAAAAAAAAAAAAAAAAAAAAAAAGGAAGTGAGAGTGAGAGAGAGGGTAAGAAAAAAAAAAAAAAAAAAAAAAAGCGGAATGAGCAGCAACGACAAGAGCAGGCGGGGGAGCCGTGGACAAGATCTGCGTGTGTGTGTGTGCAAGAGTTGAGTACAGAGGCTTTCTTTTAGTGTGTTTATATATTTATATTTATAAGCTCGGTGTCTGTTACTGGTTTAGAGCGCCGCCGCTTCTTGTGCGTACTTTTTGCATGTCTCCTGTGTGACTCCGCTTGCATTCCCTCCTTTATTTATGAGGCAGTTGAAACGAACACTCCGCCTTCCTTCATGCCACAGACGTGCTCATGCATTTTTATGCGTTTATGCGTATTTATGATTAGTTGTGTGCCCTTTTTTTTTTATTTTATTTTTTGGTGCATATTTGTCTGTGTGTGCTGTTAATAAAATCTGTTGGCACTGAATGGCACTTTTTATCTCATCGGTTTTTTCTTTGGTCTTTCAAAAACTTTTTTTTATTGTTAAGGCTCTCATCGAAATTACAACAATGAAGGGGAGGGAGGGATGACTGTTCCCCACTCACCGCTACTGGCGGCACAGCGGCCTCATCGGACGCGAGGGGCACTGATGGCCGCGCCTCATCGCGATGTTTAACGGCCCGCGAGAACGAAGTTTTGTATTTTGTCTGCAAGTGGCTTGCAAAGGAACACGGATGTGGGGCCACTCTCCCCATGCGTGATGGATATGCCACGAGATCTTCCTTTTCCCCCTTCCTCATTCCCTCCTTTTCTCTCCTCCTTGCTTTCTTCCAGTTTCTGTGGCGGCGTTGGGCGTCATGCGGCATTTCACCAGGGGCTTTCTTTTTTTAATTATTATTATTTTGCCTGCACTTGGCTATAAAATTTTTTGTTTTTAATTTACGTGTTTTCCTTTTTGTTAGGTGGCGGGCTGAAACAGCATAGGGCTCAATGCTACCCATTGTGCAGGAGTACATGACCGAATGTGCGCAGCGGCGGGTGGAGCCGTATTACGGTTTTATCGAGCATGCGGGGGCCGGAGAAATAGTGACGGACTTGGATTTTGCCCCGTTGCACAGTGTGCGGGTTTTTGCATCGACGTTGCTGCGTTGCGGGCCGCGTTCCATCGCTGCGAGGGGGCCGAAGTTGCAGGTTTTGGCGCTGCGTTACGACTCGAACAAGGGCATGCATCACCCCCCGCGGCAGTCGAAGCGCAAGGTTTCCTACACGGCCTTGTTGTCGCAGCGTCTCCCTGAAGATGTCATTGTTGCAGCACAAAACCGGCCGGTGCTGAGGAGCCTCATTGACGGCGTGCGTGTGGCGTGCATGACTTACACGGGGCATTTGGTTCGTGTGGAGTTGTGTGGCCTGCCGCTTAGCGAGATAAGGGAGGTGGTTGCCAGGCTGTTTGATGTGCTGCAGCACTGTGGCCTCCTTCGGGTACTCAAACTGAACAAGTCCAAGCTGACGGACCAGCTTTTCACGCGGCTGACAACGACGGTGAACACGTTTCCCTCACTGAAGGAGGGCCACTTCTCCGAGTGCGGTCTTACAGACGGCAGTGCCAGGGGAATTCATTCTCTCATTCTCCTCAATCGTGGCAGGGAGCAGAACGCAATGTGGCGTGCGTCTCTGAGGGACGGGGGTGGCGGTCACGTTGCAACGTTCGCGCGGGGGCTGGAAGTGCTTGATTTGTCGGGGAATTGCTTTAGCGATGCCACTCTTAGGCGATTGGGACTTGCCATAGCGCATGATGCATCGCTGCGAGTAATTGATATGAGCCGCAACACTGTGACGACGGCAGGGCTGAAGGAGTTTTTACAGCGTGGGACACTGCAGGAGAGCGCAGTGGAGTCCCTTGACCTGTCAAAGAACTTGATTGACACAAAGGATAAATTTTTCGTTGGGGATGATTTTGCATGTCAGCAAACGTACGGGGAGCAGCTTCTTCTCACCCGGTTAGACTCTCGAGAGCGGCACCGCAGCGCCAGCACGGCACCCCAATTGGAGGTGAGTGGTGCCACCGTACCACAGCTGAAGTCATCGGCCGCCGATGGTGCGCCGCTGGAGATTCACCATCCGCGTGCCGTCTCGCCCGAGGACGTTGGGGCCGGCGGTTTAAGGTCACGCGAGTCGAGTCCCGCTGCGGTGTTGGACACACGTGAGGAGAACGCTGAGGTTTGCTCTCAGTCGTTGAGATACCCCGGGATGGAGCGGCTGCAGGCAAACCGTAGCACATGGACCGCCTCGCCCGAGATGTTTGATCGCCAAAGCAACGCCAGCCGCCGTAACGGGGACCGCAAGGCATCCGAACGTTCTCGATTTTCTTATCAGGAGACGGGGAAACAGCAGGAAAACCAACCGCGCCACAATCAATACCCACCGCCGCATCAAACTGCCGTGCCTTTTTTCCCACCGCTTCTTTTTGCTCCCACCGGCAGTGGCGATGGCCCTCAGCAGCAGCAGCAGCAGTGGTGTGGTGTCCCGCTGTATGTCCCTGTCCCTGTTTCTTCACTTGGGGCTATGGCGATGCCGCCACCCGCGCGATCTACGCGGGATGTCGCCGTGGGGACCTCGCCTCAGCCGGACACGATGCAGCAGAGCACTTCTAGATCCCTCTCTACCACGCCATTGGCCGACGGCGATGTCACGGATGACGGCACCGCCTTTGAGAAGATGATGATGGAACCCTTACAGACCAATGACTGGGAACTTGCGGACTGGAGGAGGAATGAGCAGCGCTTTCTGGAGTCTCTCATTGTGCGACTGGAGTCCCACGAAAATACGACAACCGAGATGCTGGAGCGAAACTACCAGGCAACATGTGATCGTTTGGGTGCCATTCAAGAGGAATTCTCGCGGCAGATTCACGAGCTGCTTCAGGAGCAGCGTGTGGGGTCTGAGCGGTTTCGTGGGCAGCTGCGCGAGGAATTATTAAGCGAACGGCAACAGCAACAACAGCAGCAGGACCCTGAAGCCGCCATGGCGGAGCAGCTGGCGCAACTCATAGATACGGGGATGAAACGGATTCATGATCAGATGGAGAGGCGTTCGGCTTCTGCGTCTGGCACGGCAGCCAAGGCGGCGGGTGTTGACTTGCAACAACCAACACAGGAATACCTCCGTGTAGTGAAGGAGCGATTGAGCAGTTTGGGATGGTGAGGGGGGCGAGAAGGAGGGCTGTACGCAAGATATGCCTTTTCACATGTATGTGTGTTTCTGCTGGGAGCTTTTTTTTCTGGTGTCGCTTCCATGTCGTCTTCTGTTTCTGCAGCGGTTGCCACTATGAGGGGGAGGGGCCGCAGGTTTTTTTTTTCTTTTTTTTTTGCCGCTTATTTATTTATTTATTTATTTTTCTTTTGTTTGGCTTGTTGCAAAAAAAAGCAAAAAAAAAAAAAAAGAAGGCGTGGAGGGGTCCACCGGGACGAAAGATTC